CCTCTTACCTTAACTTGTTGACCATCATTTTTTTATAAAAAAGTGACAATTTTTATTATTGTTTTGTTGGAATGTTGTGTGAAAAAATTTGAAAATAGGTTGGGATATTTATAGAATAAAAAAAGAAGGAAAAAAACAAAAAAGTAGCCAAATCAGCCACTTTGAAAATTTAGTGACTGTTGCAACTTTTGAACAGTGACCATTTCGATCATTGTTTCACCAACTCAAATATCCCACGAGCTACTCGTCCATGGCGAGCTGACCTGCTCGGCTCAGGCGAGCTGATCACTTTCGTTGAATCATGATTATTGGTGTTGTACAAATGGATTGTGCTATTTTAGTACTTGNTTTTTTTTATAACAAACATATGTTTTGATTGGTGTTTTGTTACTTTTTTAAGTATTTGTCACTTTTTGAGTTTATATCACTTTTTGAGTGTCACTTTTTTTTGAATTTTGTCACTCTTTTTAAGTTGTGTTACACAGTATTTTTTACTTCCTAATAATATTTCACATGATTTTTCAAAATACTCCTAATTTTAAGTGTATTTTTGTAAGTACCCCAACCCAAAAGGCAATGTTGGGCCCTCGCATCATGTAAGTTTTATTGGACCACGTCATAAATGCATAGGCTTATATTGTTGATTTATAAGTGGGAAATATGATGTACAAGTCTAGGAAAAGAATAGTGAAAATTTAACCCATACTCTTTTTTGTTAAAATATTTCCAATGTATTGTATCACTTTTTTTAATTTCTCAAGCTGCCATTTATAATCAAACTCATAATTTTATCCCGAGCCCTAATACCCATTCGGCATTCCACACTAAACCCTAACAAATCACCATCACCATTGTCACCTCCAACCACCATTGCCACCATTAACTTCGATCACCATCTTGACTACCAGCACCACCACCTTCTCATTCTACCGTCATCAACACTTGTTCCATGAATTTCATATCTAATTTTCATATCTGAAATAAAAATGGGGCAATATTAAATTTTGAATTTCATTAATGAACTTTTTTGGAATTCATTCACATTTTCAGATCTTTTTTTTTTTTTCATTTTTGTTGAATGCTTTTTATAATATTTTTTTTGTATTGCTTTAATGTTGGTGTTGGTGTTGGTGTTGGTGTTTGTGTTGGTGGTAGTGTTAGTGTTAGTAGTGGTGGTGAGCAATGGTTTATAATAGTGGCGACGATGGCTTATAAGTGTCATTGATAAGTGTATTTTATACACTTATTTGGACCTAAAAATATATACACTTAATAGTTCATTTAAGCAATTATAGCCAAATTTATTGTATATTTCGTTTGTTAGGTAACATTCGACAAAATGAAGTGGAATTGAAAGAAAGAGACTAATTTGTGTACTCAAACGTTGTGTCAAAACTCATGATGAAGATTCAAGAATGCTGAGGTCAATCAGAAGTCAAAAAAGAGTTAAATATGATCAAAATATTTTCACAAACAAATTTCAACCGCACAAGTATGTTCCAGATTTTTAGTCAGAAATTGAGACCCATTTTTTACTTAGTAAACGTTCAAATTGGAGAAAAGCTATCCTAGAAAAATTATAATCATTTGAGTTATCTTTCCAACACATTTTGAATCGTCTTAATAGGATATCAAAAAAGAAAGTTATGATAAAAATACTGATAAATGCACAGAGTTGTGTAGGAAGATCAGTTTGCAGTGTTGCCAGTCGCCAAATAGGGTTTTTAAGTGAAATTAATCTTTTTAAAGCCGAATTTAACTAAAACTCTTTCAGTGATTGAAGAAGACAAAATACTACTCTAAAAAACACAATTTAGGGGGAGAGCAAAAAACATAATTATCAAGATCAAATAGCAAAAAGTCAGGGTTTAAATACTTTTGAGGTTGAAGAAGATTTTTAGTGTAAAATTCAATTCTTTCCATTATTAAGATTTTCAAACCCAGTTATGAACTCTATACTTTTGCTTTTCTTTCATTATTATGAGTAACTAAATTCATAGCTATGGCCAACAGTGTAATCTATATGTGATCATTTATTTCTTTTATTTAAGATTCTAATTCCTTAAATGCATATGTGTTGGTTTTATTCATAATTTAATAGCCTTTTAACTCTTTGGACAATTATTCAATGATTTTGTGAATCTATTATGAATCAAGATGTGGGTTTTAGATTTAGACCACATAATAAAATTCAATAATTTAGTATAAAATGTAGAAATACTTATACTAGTTAATGCGGTCGTTATATGAATTCTTAGAATATAATTGTGTTTAACTAAGATTGATTTACATAGAGATATAAAATTGAATTAGTTAAAGAGACTCAATAAGAACACGAGAGGGGTAAATCAACTACTTTAAAAAAAAATCGAACGATCACTACAATAGTTGTGAATCTTGATTGGGAAATTAAAGGGAATCCATGGGTAAAATCGTAAGTTTTATTATCCACATTCATACTTTTAAAACCCGAATTCGATAAATTGTGTATGTTAGATTAATTTTGTTAGAATAATTAAGACACCAATCACAAACCTTAGGGCCTAGCCTATTTGATTCATTAAGTTTTTTGTTGTTCAATAGCAAAATTTTTCTTGGCAACCCCCCACCCACGTGACCCCTTTTCTATGTTTTAAGTGAATTGGTTTTCCTACCAAAGTGCCGGAAAAGTGGTTTCTGGTGTCTTTTTTTTTTTT